ACGCACAGAGCACGCAGAAAGAACCATGTGTAGATATACTCGACGTAACGAATCTCGAGCTCAGAGCCAGCGGCTACCGGATGCTGCACACATGGCTTCTTTATCAGATCACATCTGACCTCATTTCTACAGGTTGCATCGCTGCCGAGACGTAGGAGGAGATACTTATTTGGAACCAGTTGGTATGTTTGCAGTGATGTCTTCCTTGTCGGTCCCAGGCATCGTCACGGAGTACTTGCTGTTGCCCAAGAATTGCCCAAGATCCTCCCTTCTTCTGTTGCTGCAGTGTTGGAAAAATCGAATCGGGGCCCCGTCTTCCATGACATCTCGGCAGTGGGCTCACACGGTTCATGGACGCGCCCCTGAGTGACCAGACCACACCTCGCGTCGTACCATACCGCGAGGGAGTGTGCCCGTGCTTGCGGGCTGCGGCTCGGCTGTCCTGGAAATCTTGCAAATCCTGCAGCAATATTCCAAGGGGTTGGGTTGCCTGGCTGGTTGCACTAGCGTGGTGGAGCCCTCCGTTGCAGAGTGCTTGCAGAAAGGAAGTGCGAACAGACAAGACAAATTTGGACTTGTGCAACAAGTAGAGCGCAAATTCATGCCAACGCTAGAACGCGCCGCCTGGGCTTGGCCCGGTGCAGATGGCCGTGGAGCGTCTCATGTCCGTCCATCGGGGGGCGAATAGGGGGTCCATAGTGGGTCCAGAGAAAGTCCATTCATCAGGACAAGGCAGGATGATCTGGAGCCTCAAAAGCTCCATACAACCTCCATCGAGTCAGGGCGGGGTCCCGGCACAGACCGGCTTTCACAGCGGGGGTCTATGCCAGGAGGTCCATAATGTCAGGGAGTTCCATACCATGGGGGTCCGGGGGATTCATGTGTAAGGTTCACCTCGACGCAGATGTTTTGTGGTGAGGCTCAGCGGCTAGGCTTCAGCGCCAGGGGACCATATGGACCTGTGGACACCCTCTTTAGAATTGCTCTGTCTGGGAAGATTGGGAGGCGACCATGGGCCTCTGAGCACTCCTACCGCGGGAGGCGGGTTGTTGTTTGCAAACGCCTTCGGTCTCGGTGGAGGAATGTGCACACTTTTCATGCTGAAAGCGCACAAACTTGTCCCCACGTTGAGACCCCACTACCCCACTAAACGTGGTTGGTATTCCATTGCTGAAGAGGAAGCCACGATGAATTAGTCAAGACGATTTCAGGAGAGGTGGGGCGGTCTATGGGCCACGGTTTTTTATTTGAGCGGAGCTCGTGCAGGTCACACCCGGCCGCCTCAGAGGCATGCGAAGCAACACGCACCGATACATCCTTACTAGGACCAGGGCTTCCTAACCCTTGACCGGCGACCCCTTTAGTTGTTGGACCCCTTGTAGTTGTTTTGAAAGTCAAGCTCTCGGGCTCTGCGCCCTTCTCTTTTGCAGCATCAGGGGGCAGAACGGGGTATAGCAGCGTGTCCCCCGCGAGCTCCTTCAAATTCAGTCGGCCCGAGGGAATTTGCATAGGGCGCTTGGCCGCCTGGCTCCTAAGAAAGTGGCTTCGTGCGAGCTGTGATAGGAACACGCCACTCTCCAACAGCTTGTTCAGGAGGCTGTTTCACGCAGAACTTTACACAATGCTTTACACCTTCGTCCATAAGCCTCGTCGAAAGCTTAGCTTGAGCCAGGGGCTTTGCGAGCATAGGCCGCAATGGCCATTGTCAGTGTCCAGTCTTGCTGCGGCATAGAGACTTGTGAAAGTTCAGGATTCAGGTGTCTTGGTTTGGTACATGGCATATATGTAGGGGTCAGGCGCTGCTGATCCAGCATGTGCGGTGCTTTTCCGCCCTGTGCAGTAGGTGCTGTGTGGGCAAGTCTGGACAACGTGCGGTACGTGCATGTCTGCGAACGCCGTTTCAAGAATGGGAGTTTCCCTGTGTGGCGCTGCTGGTGTGGGCAACCGCCCACAGCTTTCCTGACTGAACATGCTTCAGTAACTTCAGTGCTGCGCTTCCGGTTGTGAGAGGGTCAACGTAGGAGACGGGTGCGCATCAACTAAACAGACAGTTGCGAATTAGAGCTTTTGGATTCCGACATGTAGGAGCACAGAGCCTTGAGAACCGCAGGCCAAGAGGCACTTTGGAATGGATTCCAGGGTCCAGGTGTTTGATGCTATGGCTCTGAGAAACTCCTGTGAGCATGCCGCTCCCGAACATGTGGAGCTGCCAAGTGGGAAGTGCAGACTGGAGGGCTCAAGAGGAATTTTGGGATCAGTATGGCGTGTTGGCTTTAACGACCTAGGGACGTAAGGACCTCAAGAGTCGTTGAGCGTGCATCTACTAACTCCGAACTCAAGCCCATGTGGACATCAAGGGCCCTTCCGGTATCCAGGTACTTTCCCTTTCAGACCTCGGAACGCTGTGCTCAGCCGTGGCAAAAAAGAGCTGTAGCCTCAAGATCCTGCACCAGCAAACTCAGCCAACGAGACCCTGAACCCTACACGCTCAACCGGGAACCAAAGACCCATTTGTTCACACAAAGCCGCTGCGGGGCCCCTCATGACGTTCCCTTCTTCTCCCTGTGTTTGCAGCTCAAAGTCCCCCATCGCGCATCGCTTTGAGCCATCCTAGACGCTTCGAAGTTCGAAGTCCCTGGTGTCTCAGTCCATCAGTTGCCCCGTGGAGGCGTCGCTAGACAGGTGGCAACAACTCACAGACACAACTGGAAGAGTGTTGAAGGCCGAAGCCTAAACCCTGAAGCCCTAGACGCCTGAATCCGAAGCCAAGATCCGACTGGTGAGGATCGGCCTCGGCTTCGATGCGGCGCCCCCGACTCCGGTCTTTGTGGACAGGGTGGCCTCCGACTCCTGGGCACAGGTGGGTTCCGTCCTTCAGACATGGGCTGTTCTTTTACGATTTGGAGTTTGCTGTGCAGGTTTCTCGGAACCTGATCGCTTCGGCAGGTCGACCAGAGGTGTAGATAGACCTCCCAGTCACCACTTTGCTGTAGAAGGCTTCGCCGCAGACCTTAGAGTGGCGTTGCGACGTCGCTGTAGTACCGTGCGTACCCCTGGGAAGGAGAAGGGCTTCCTTGGAGGAGAGCAGATTCTGGCACCCATGCTCTCAAAAAGAAGCGCATTGTGGAGCGGACATTGTTAAGTGTCGATTGGTGATAGCCCAGCGAACGTCCAGAAACAGGAAGCCAAAAGCCAAGGCAATCAACGGTCTGCTGGTGTCGAAGATGGACATCAACGACTTCAAGAGCTTCTGCAGCAGCGACGGACCATTTCATGAACCCGTAGCCCAGCCCAGGCTACATCCCTGTACCCAATTTCTTGTTTGACTCCTCAGCCCCAGCCCAGGGTCCCAAAGAACTAGGTTTTTTTTGGACCTGAGCCGTGAACCTCAGAGGAAGCAGATGAGGGGTCGTCCTATTGAGCTCCTCATCGACTGGACGGCGGAGGACCCAAGCCGCTCCCCTGCATCACCGTGGCATCACCTCATCCACGGTGCTTGGGTCAAGGATTCCGCAGAGGTTTCTTTGGGGGAGGCGAGGGTTGCACATGGACCTTCGGAAATCTGGCAGATGCAAAGCACGAGCGGGTACAAGGCATGGGCCAAAGGCATGGGCCAAATATGAGCAAAGCCTTGGGCTATGCGAGGCAAACTCGTGGCGACCCTCGAGGCAGATGCGCCACCTGGCTTTAAGTTGAGGCAGGCATGTGGTGGACACGCAATTCGTTGAGATGTTGCAGGTCCAGGTTTGAAAAAAGCCGTAAGAGCATAGAAACTTAACCCAAATCCTGAAGTCTACACACAAACCGCCGCAAAGCTGCTGCAGATCGGTGGCCGAGCTCGGCCTCGACCTTGAGGGTGTTCCCCCCTCTCCGCTGCTGGCCGCCGGGACGCGATTTGTGGAAGGTGCCGGAGGTGGCAGTTGCAGGAGCTTTAGGTTCTAGGTTTTAGGTTTTATGTTTCCCGCGCCAACAGGATTCTCAGATCTTAGGGGTCCAGTGAGTCATGAGTTCCGCCCATTTCCATTTCCGCTTTCATTTTCATGGGGTGGCCACGAGAGCTATCCCTGGCAGGCTTGACGCTTCGAATGCCTGTGAGAGAGAGAGGTTTTATGGGCTTTAGGGCATCAGAACTCTAGAACAACAGCAAGGAACTAGAAGCGCAGAACAGCGAAGCCAAAGCATCACCATACGGTACGTGTGTGGAGTGTACGTACGACTCTACCGCAGTGAAAACTAGCCCTCCCCACAAAGCTTCGGGTTTTCAAAGCTCTTTCTTGGTTTTTAAGTGCCATTTCAGGATCGCGCTTGTCTTGCGCGCGCCCATCCCTCTAACAATCTGTTTTTGCTGCGAATGACGTTAGGGGAGTTAGGGGCAAAAGCGGCGACCCGCCTTGACCAAAAAGAGCGCGGGGCTCCGAAGTCAAGAGGCTCAGATGTCAAAACGATCTAGCAGGATCCTCGTGGTGAGGAGGCAGCCAATGATGTCGACGACGCATGCGCGACGGGAAGCAATGCGAGGAAACATCGCGGCCATGGCCGACGCGGTGTGGAATGGGGTAGCGGGTAGCGCAGGGAAAGCGTTCTGCTCGTCGGCAGTCAGACGGTGTCACCCCGGATAGGGCGGTTTGGAGCCTGGAAACGACATGCTGTACTGGACAGCTTAAGGGATAGCCCACCCCTCCAGAGCCCTGTGAACCCTCAAGGCCCCTAAAGGCCAAAGGACTATCTGAGCCGGGCCCTGCCGAGGTCCGTGCTGTTGCTCCCAGAAGCTGGGCGGAGGATCCGTGTTTGGTGCACTGGGTGACACCTTGAATACTGTAGATGTCTACAGGGATTCTAGGGTTTAGTGCTTTAGGGTCTATAAATAAGGGTTCAGGGGTGGCTTTCACTCAACGCCTTGGCCTAGGCAAGTGTCTGGGCTCGTGATGGGTTCTAAGCTCCAGCTCCGTTCAAGCTGAACAGCGAGTAGCGAGCTCCACCTTGAGCTTTGACGGTGCAGGCCATGCGCAGCTCGGCTGAGACTGTTGCCATCAGGGCGGTTGGAGGTTCAAGGGCCTTTGGTGCAAGCTTGGGGCCGTGAGATATGCGAGGACATCGGGGCCCCTCTGCTATTGAATGTTGCATGCCAGAACAGGTCCTCTCGTGCATTGAGGCACGTGTGCATTGATACACGGCTTCTACATGAGCTCATGGCAGCTGTCCCCCTAACTGCCGGCCCCTCCACAAGCTCCTTTGACCAAGGGTTGAAGGGAGGAGAGCGCATCGTCGAGGTCAATGGCACTCCAGTCGGGAAGCCTAGACTGGGAGCCTGAAGCCTTGGTCGGCCACCTTCGATGGAAACGCGCGGGCACGCAGAAATACAAGCATACATACAGCATGTACGAAAATATTTCTATATATTCTGTATGGATCTATTTATGCAGCACGCTCTTCCAGTGAGCTGGGAGAACTGAGGTCTCACAGATGACGAAGGACGCTTGGCATGTAGCCGTCCTTCCGAGTCCTTCCCCTGAATGTTCGCAGGAGAAGCTGGGTGTTGCTGTGCGGCAACGGCCTTTGGCTCTCCGTCACTGGGCGAAGACATGCGATTCGGGCATTAACAGGCAAAAAGCAACGTCGAGGTGTCCTGGAGGTGCCAGGTTCTTGTGTCACTGTGCACGTGGTGTAGCTGGGGTGTCGCGGCATGTCGCGGCCTTTCGTCAACAGAATGCCGGAGCCGGTGAGTGCCGTGAGACTTCCCAGGTGTCGACCGCAGCGCAGCCCCTGCCGTGGCGCAGGCGAAGTTCGGGTTTATTCCTTGCACGTAAGGATGCAGTGCGTACTTCACATAGAACGTGTTTCTTTTCCACAGGAGCGTCTGAGGCTGGACCTTACAGGGATCCGAAGTAAGTGTATAGTGTATATAAGGGTTATATATAACGAGGGACCCAACTGAAGGGCCCATACTTGGAACCCTAGAGAGAGGCGTTGGACATGGCGGGGGACATCCCCAGCTCAGGCAGCAGAAGAAGAGATATTCGCTCGCCGCTTGCTCGTCCTGCCCCTTCGGGAGATCAGTACGCCTAGCTGCATTGGACGCGAATTCCGAGTCTGCTTTTCTTCCTTGGGGGGTCATTTTAGGGGTCGCCACCTGAAGGTCAATGGCAGCTATTGGGTTCTTGGGTTGACGGGCAGAGATTGCCGCATTCGCTGTGCAATGTTATATATCACGTCATATATATAGTACATGTGAAAAATCCGTTTATTGCATCATATGCTATATGTTATAGCAGTTATAACATATACGAGAAAACTGCAAGGCCGCTGGTGCTGCGGTTTGACGTCCCACTTACTACAGTCCCAACTGGAAGAAGCCGCAGATTCTAGTGGCCATCGCGGAAGCAGCTCTCGCGCACTGTTTTGAGACATGCATTCTTTGGAATGGTCCTTGCGCTGTTTGGGTCGCATTTCTGATTCTTCGGCTGATTGGACAAAAGTCCGCAAGGACAGACCGCAGACTTTTGGTGGTCTCTCCTTGCGGTCGCTTTTTTTTGGGGCCGCTTTCTGGTGCCTACGTAGGCACTAACAAACCTGTATGGCTCAACCGTCTCTCCGAAGGCTTGATCTGCGACGTCCTCACGACGCATTTCGAGACTCTGCCTCAGCAGAACAGATCCTGACAAAACTCATAGGCAGGTCGTAGACACCTCGCTGCAGAGTCGGTAGCCCCAAAGAAGTTTCAGGAGATCAGAGGAGATGCCTAAGCTTCGTGAGGGTTTCAGAGGCACCAGGATGGACAAGGGCACATGTCCCTTTTGAGGGCTTCTGCGTGTTGCTGAACGCAACCTGTGCTGTGAGGAAACTGGCGAAAGCTTAGATGACACGGCAGAGGCTTGCCGCCACTAGAGAGTTTTCAAACCGAGCCTGAGCCTTGCCTACCAGAGGGGGGGTGAACAAGGGGCCTGACCTCACAAAATACTATAGCTGCTAGATTGCTTGTCAGGGTCCGGACTCCAACCTCTTAACTTGACGTGGCCGACGAGAGAAGACACCATGACCCCCATGCGCAAGTACGGAACTTGCAGCTGCGTGCTTTCTGGACATGCTATCTGCGAATGGTTCAAGTTAGTTTGGGATTGATGTTGGAGAAGCTGGGCATGTGGTAGCAGCAAAGAAGTCCTAAACAACCCTGTGCCGTGCACAACTCTGGAGGCAGTTCGCTCGGGGCAGCTGCGCATGGGAGACGAGGCAATTGGGTCTTTGGGGGGAATTTCGTTTGACGGTTGAGGAAGTTGAGAGCCAGGATCTAAGCTTTCTGGGTCCTGCTGCCCAGATGTTTTGGATGTTGTGCTCAGTGTTCATCTCCTATCACCTGACCGTCGGAGAGCATTCTTGAGGCGCTGGGAACATGCGTGAAAGGTCAGCAGCTCTCGCCAACTCCTGATTAGCACCTGGCTGCGTAGAGCCCTTCCAGGAGGGCCAGCTTCCGCGCATCCGGGTGCTTTGGCAATATATTCAGGTATAGTCTTGGGGATTTTCTGAGGCTTTGAAGCATGTTCAGAGGCTCCACGTCGGGGGCTCCTCGCTGCTTCCCAAATCGCTGAAGCATGCTGAAGTCCCCTAACGTTCCTAAAGCTTTGCAGCCACGAAGCAGGCCAACCCCCGCAGGCAAGAAGAATGCACTCAACTCCCCAAGCCGCGCTGCCTGGCGGCGCAACACCTGAGTCCCTTGGTCGCTTGAGGTCACTCGCTTCCACGGTTTCGCCTTTGCTCTTGACGGGCGGCGCCTTGTCCCTTGGACGCAATTTGCGGATCCTGCAGGGTCCTTCGGGAGGTTCTTCGGGGGTTCTAGGTCATGGGCTCTCGTGGGCCTCCTATGAATGTCTGAATATCTAGTACCTTCCTTCTAGAGTGCTTAAGTCTCTTAAGGGCCTGTGGGGTTTGGTTCAGAGTTCGGGACAAGCGTTTTGACTCCTCGGGGGAGCTCTCACCTTGGCCAGCCCCACGGCTTGCAAAGCCTTGGGCTGGAATTGCAGCCCAAGCACCAAGCCTTCAAGACAACAGGCGTTGTATTTCAGATCTTGGGGCTGTAGCCTTGCGCCTTGCAGGCTGGAGGCTTTAGGTTTCGGATCTTAAATGTTCTCACACTCGTGTGAGAAGTAACATGCCGCGTAGCTCCGGCGGTAGGGGAACCTCTAAGACCGCTGCTGCTCGGGGCACAAGATCCAGCCTGGGCCTTTCGAAATTTCGCGCCAAGCACGGCAGGGCTTCTTGGAATGCCAGCCGTACTTGCTAACTGGCTGCCCTGCATTCTCCGATCGAGTTCGTGAGTGGGGCGCAGTGTCAAACAGACCTGCGGATCAACACCACTGCAGGCGACCGAGAACTAAAAGCTGTGGAGCCGATCCAATTGGCATTAGGCAGGTCCTGCAACTACCAGATGTGGACCCTTTGGTGGACCCTCGGGGCCATTGCCGGCTCAGATGGTTCAAGCCACGGGTGCAGCTGCGCAGTCAAGCTTAAGTTCTCTTCGGTGCTAGATCAGTCGGACGAGACAGAGATCAATGCATTGTCCCGGAACTCGGTTTGCTTCTCAAGGACCGGCCTTTGCACGTTCTGAGGCTTGCCTGCGCAGTGCCTTGGCCCCTGCTGCAGACGTGGAGGTTTGGGAGGCCCATCTGGAGTTGATTGGGGAGGTTCTGGTCTTTTCGCTGTGCTTGGCGGGTGTGGCAGGTGTGGGGGGCTCGCGGAGACCACACCCAAAAGTAGGGGCTTTCTGCTCTCCCGAAGGTTCGCATGCACACCACGCGGTCCCTGCTGGGCCTTTGCAGGAGTGCTTTCGGCGAGCGGAGATCAGCAAGGCGGCTTTTTGGAGCCGTGCGGCGGAATGCTGTAGGGCTGTAGGGGGTGTGAGCCACCTGGCGCGTAGCTTACTAAACTTCGCTCCACCCAGACCCTCCACCCTAACCGCAAACGCTACTTAGACAGGAGTTCTTCGAGAAGCTGGCCACCAGGGCCCCCGGCGCCGGAGAGAAGGCAGAAAGTGCCAAAGTTGTTTGGGGCTCCAGGTTGCTGGGTTTCCCACAACCCCGCCTTCCACCAGGCAGGGCCCGCGGCTGTACCGAAGGCAGAGTCGAAGCCGCGCGCTGCGTGGAAGCAAAGGATCGTAGGATCACTTGGGGGCTCATACTGTCCGTGCATCCCCACCTCGATACTCGGCTGTGGCCTAGAGATCTTATTATGCTGGGCCTTGAACATATGGGTTCTCCAGCCCGGCTTGCCATGGCAGAGGCCCATGAACCCCGGATCCAAGGCTCCCAACCAGTCTAGGTTGAACCCGACACCTTACCTTATAATGTTGTGTCGAGCCAACCTTTCACTTGTGCGCGAGCCGAAGCAGCTCTTTGCGAGAGTCCAGCGCAAGTAGGTTCCTGAACCTCCCGGAAACCCTTCTCAAAATCGCCCAACGTCTCTCAAAGCCCTTCCCCAAGGATGCCGCTGCCAACTTTGCGCGGAGCCTCTGCGACGACCGGGACCAAGAAGCGCTCCAGGTGCCCCCTTTTTGTGGGGGGAGGGGGAGGGGGGCTGTTGAGGGCATTTTAATCGTGCCATTGTTAAGGTGGCCCAGCCACCCAAGAAGCCATCGTGTAGGGCTGAGGTCCGAATTCATGTTCACATCGTATTTGAGGTTGAAAGAATAAAGACCATGATTTTTTAGGACTGCTTGGTAGGGGACCGATAAATCCCCAAGGTCAAGCAGGTCCAGCTTAGAGGCTTGGGGGCAAGGTGCATGGAGGGCTTGTGCGGGTGCCCACTCGACGATCAGCACACCGAAAACTCAACCTCTTTCATCCGGCCGCTTCTTTTGCAGATGCCCCTAGAGTTCCCCGAAGACAAGCCTGGAAAGCACCTGCTTTCAGGAAATTGTCCGCGCCGGATATCTGCAGCAGATTGCGCAGCTGCAGAAGAAGTGTCCTACGGCATGCAAGGTTTCGCGCATCCCAGACTCATGAGCCTTTGATTTCTTAACGCTACCTGCTAGTAGTGCGAAAAAGTGTGGAGTCATCGCCTGTGCCTCCAGGTGTGCCGAGGCCAGAAAAAGGCACCTTCTGCAGAATTTAGGCTTGCAGCGACAGGCAGGGCTTGGCGAGAGCCCGAAGCCAGCACAGGGCTGCAGCCGCGTGCCTCCAAGATGAGCTCTTCAGGTTCTGGCGATGTAGCAGGCCACTGCTGAATGGGACTGTCCAAGGAGCAAGGGTTTTCGGGATTTCGAACATGCTGAGTCGATCTCAAAGCCCGAAAGGCTCGCATGGCTCGCAAGCCAGCGCCTTTCGGCGACCCATTGTGCAGCGCCTGCTGCTGGCGGGTGCTTACTTATCAATCGCAGCTTGGATTTGGACTTCGGGGCAGACTCCTTTCGCGTGTGTGAGAGCGAGTACGCAAAGTCCTATTTCATGCTTGAAAAAAAGAGAGGATGATCAAGGCAAGAGGCTTTCCGAGCCTTTCCGAGCCTTGTCAGGCTGCTGGCCTCGGGCTGCCTTTGCTTGTGACTCTCTTCCACTCACGAGACCTGGATGAAAGCAGACAGGGTCCCCCAGAAGCAACAGCGGGTCTGGCAAGGCTCTCGCAAAAGCGGACTTTCAACACCAAAGGTCTTGTCATCCACGCTGATGGGTGGACATATCTTCAGATTTTCGAGTTGGAATTTTGCTGGCTTTCGTTCATGGAGGAGAGTACCACCTGATCGTGTTCATCATCTCTGTCTCCTGCATCATCGTGTGCCTCAGCATGCAGCATTGGGATCATGGAGGTAGGTTTGACGTCTTTGTCTCGTAACTCGTTTCCTCTAGATCAGTCGCTTTTTCGACTTCCCGCGTCATCAGGCTTATGACTTCGGAAAGGTTCGGGCCGGTTAGGGCCTAGCACGCTGGTTCAGGGACCTACAGCCCCGAACCCTTGTACTCCATCTACCGAGAGGATCATTGGCATGCTCTTGGAGTGGATCGCGCAGCGCTTGCTCCTTGGCTTGACGGACGGTCTGCTTTTTGTCCAAAAAAAACTTTATACGCAAAGTGTTGGGGGTTCGTCGCGGAGGATGACAGTTGAGGTGCCTCTCAGGTAGCCGGTCCTGACAGCTCAACCCACCACTCGTTTGGGAAACCCATCGAAAAGCCAAAAGCTGCTACCTTTAAACTTCAAACACCAAAGTACTGTCAACAATCAGGTCGGCCATTCCGGCGCCCGTGCATGACCTGAAGACGCTTGGCGACCCTGGAGGTTGTTCTCGTGGGTTTTGGGAAGACTTTGTGGTCGGCGGTCTGGCCCTCAAAAGGTGGCTGCAGGTCGTGCGCAGCTGCGAGTACATAGCGCCAGACAGGGCACAATGCAAGCCAGAAAGCCATCCACATTGAGGCATGGCACACTGTGGAGCAGCATGACAACAGTCTCACAGTGTGCTTGTCGGCCTCGGGAGACCTGCTGATGTTCATGGCTCATGATGCCTCATAACTTATTCCCAAATGCACCCATGCACACACCCAGGCACACACCCATGCGCACACCCAGTTACGACGCCTTCCACGCCTGTCTTGCGAGTTCGGCATCCCTTCACGAATGTGCTTGTACATCTGGATTGTACATCTGGAATTCGTGAAACTGCGCAAACCTTGACCCGAGGAAGGCCAGTCGAGTGTGGGCTGCAGGTACCCATGAGGCGCCGTTGCAGAAAGTGCCCGGCACAGAAAGGCTTGCATGAGGTTTCTGGAGTTTGGCAACGGAGGAGAGTGCCAAAACGACACACGAACTACCTGAACAGTTCGTACGAAAGAAACGTATGTCGTAATCTCGCTCAACCCCTGACGCTTCAGATTGCATCGTGTCCATGTTCTGTCTCTCTCGAGGCTCTCGACAAGGAGTCCCTTCAGCTTCTGTGCCGGCAGTTGCAGCGGGTGCTTTTGAGGAGGTTGTGTTCGAAAGGTGACTGCGCGAGGTCAGTGCGGACATTGCAACAACCCCTCCTGCGCAAGGCTATGCTAGTAGTAGTAGTAGCACTTTGCACTTCTCTTGTGCTGCAGACGACCGGTTTTCAAGGCAACTTGTAATCATTGTAAACTTAAACCACAACGAGCCAGAAGAATCTGCCTTGCAAGGGCAGAGTGCGTGTTAACCTGACACGTGCAGGAAAACACATACACACACGCACACAGAGCGAATTCTGGCGTCAAGGAAGCGCTTCCATACCCTAACGCCGAGCCAATACTTGGGAGCTCTCAGCCCAGCCCAGGTTCTTTCACGTCCACATCAAGCGCAGCACCAGCGTTGGGTATTGCTCCGTGAAGAAGGACCCTTTGGGGCAGAGTTCGGAGATGTTCGGGGTGCAAGTGGTGTGCTAGTGGTGTGTAAGGCTGTGTAAGGTCTAGAGTCTTCAGGGTCTTTGGAGCTCCAGAATGTCGGAGCGAAGCCTTCTCCGCTGAAAGAAGCTGGTGTGGGCCTGTGGCCTGAAATTGAAGTTGCACGGTTTCTTGGGTCAATGCAAACCGGAAGGTGAACCGACTATCGATTGCGATCTTTAGATGCTAGACAACCGACAATCAAAGGTGCGATCTTTTCGGCTTGTCCGGCCTTTGAGGGATAGTCAACCCTCCATCAGACAGCCCTGAACGTCACGTGTCTGGAGCCGCAGTCCATGCCTTGCAAAGCTGCAAGCAGGCCGACCGAGCCTCCGTTTTGACGCCAGTGCTTCAGGCCGAGGGGCCGAGGGGAAGGGAAGGAGGAATCTGAGTAGCGTAACCTGAGGAGCGCAATCCTGATGTGCTCAATGTTGTGAAAACCCTGGTCTTCCGATCTGTGTTTGTCTCAAGTGTATCGTGCGACTCTTTCGTTCTGCCCTCATTTGAACCAGCCCTTGCATGATCATGCATCGGCCTGAACAGTGCGCCGTGTCAGAAACACATCTTCGCTGTCTACTGTTGTTGGCCTGCCCGTATGCCCGTCGATTTTCTTATCGCCTAAAGCAAGGGAATATCAGGGCCATGAACACGAGGGCTTAGGACACCCTTCCTCCGAGGCACGGAGCGAGACATGCATATGCTGCATGGAGGACGCTCGCCTGAAGCAGTTTCTGCTTGTGCGGTCGAGGGAAACAAGTCTTTATCACAGCTTGGCATGCTATTGTGCACCGCAAACAGCTAGTGTTTCCCAGGACTTCGAGCCTTCGAGCAGCATCGCGGTCCTTCCATGTGGGCACGTTTTCCACGAGCGGTGCATGGTGTGTTGGTCGCGCCTTCACTGCCAGGGTCAGCTTTTCAGTTTTGGTACCAAGAATGCACATTCACGACAGCATGCAAGCATATGCAAGCGCAGCATAGTCAACTTTGCATCCGAGGCTTTCGGAAAAGGGGTCCACCGATGCCTGTCCAATTTGCCGTGCCAACTTTGATGTGCTGTGACCGGCTGGAACTTTGTCGGTTCGTGGCCACGAATTAAAGCTAGGCGTCGCCCGACGTGCCGCAAAGAAACCTGGAGGCAAATGCAGGTCTGTCAGGAACCGTTTTGGTGCGTGATGGTATGCCAGCCAGCTCAATAGGCAAGAGAAGCAGCTTGCCTTGCGGCGCACGACCGCATCTGTATCTGTCCCAGCTGCATGCTGGACACACTCGGCTGCCATGTACGACTCCAGCCGGTGCCTGACGGTGCACAGGAGATGGTTTCGAGAACGGTGGGCCATCTTGTTTGAAGATGGGCGCCCCGTACAGCAACGGGAGGCCAAGTCCCCCGTTACAGTAATTCGCCTGCTTAGGTGTCGCTGGTGCACATTTTTGTGTCTGCTGTGCCCTCAGGCCTGATTAGCGAGCTCCGGAGGGCTGCGCCAGCCGATTTCTGCTAAACCCTCAGCTCAGATCTCAGGGCCCAGGATTGCTCAACACCCCTTCGCATTCCAGGCAGAGACACTACAGCACGAAAAATCGAAACGGATCCAAGCTCATTCACGCGAAGTCTAGATGGGAAAATGCAGGACTTTTCTTTAGCAGCTTTGAAAGTTTCATTGCCAAAGGCAGGGTTCATGATTCACACGGCTGACTTGGCTTTGTTGCCCTCCGAGCTCGGGGTCAACCTTGTGGGCAGCACGTTAGCTGTAGTCGATAGGAGTTTTCAGATGGCCTGTGCCCTCAGAACCGTGCAGGCTTTTGGCTTCTAGCGGGCTGCATTACGCCGATGCTGTGACCTGAACTTCCCCTTTCGGGACCACAGGGGTACAGTCCTGCGAGAGCCATTGGCATGAGGTTCCCACGGGCTCAGGCATGCACGACACGTGTCGGCTGCCGTTCATCTCACCTGTATGGAATGTGAGCGCGGCCCGATCGAGTGCACAGCTGCAGGTCCACCATGACAGTCTGCCGTTCCACCATGCGAAATAAGATGTCCCTAAGCATCCGTATCGAACCCTTTATACCAGGCTAAAGCCTGGAATGAGAGTCGACCAGCGATTTTGTTGCGCTACCTGGTGTTCCAAGTCTTCAAAACTTCCCAAAATTGGCGGTGTCCCTTGGGCTCTGCTGGTCCTAGCCCGCAGCTAGTTCGACGTTGGAATTCGTTTATACAGGGCTTCTGCCCTCCGTCGCATTCGGTTTGCAGCAGCTCGGAATACCATGGCCGCACGTTTCCATTGTCGGCAGAGGGCTGCAGGCGCAAGCTGGTCCGAAGGTGCCCGGGCCTCGGAGCTGTGTAGACACAGAGCGCTGCAAACCTTTCGCGAGCCGTTTTATGCCTACCGTTTACGCATTCCAGACATCGCCGGCCTCGGATGTTCCACAAGACGAGTCCCGTCCCGGTGACCCGGCGTCTGATGCAAAATGTGCCAGACAAGTGCACCGATTCAAAGGAAAAGCGAAGGTGCGATGCAGCAACTCTCTTGTATCACAGCAACGGAACGGTGTCCGCATAGCTCTCCTTACACTCAAGTTGCTGAAGCTGCTTAGACGGCAGGCAGTTCGGCTTTTGTCAGTTGCTGGGTGCCCTTGG